GAGAAGAGCGGGAGGCAAAGCGTCGGTTGGTTCAATTTACACGGATGCAGAGTGGCAGCACAATCCACGCAGACTTCAAGCCTGTGGCGCCTGAAGACCGTGCTCCTAATAGTATCTGCATCAGTTGCATCTACTGGGATGGGAAGGACGAATGCTTTGTTACCAGCGTTGACACCATCTACTTGCTCGAGTCCTTGGTGGGAGTCCGGTTCACGGTGGAAGAGAAGAACCGCATCCGCAGAAACTTGGAAGGCTTCCGACCACTTACAGTGTCCAAGGCCAAGGCTGACAGTGAGGACTTTTTCAAAGTCATCATGGGGTTTCCCGCACCAAAGCCCAGGAATATCGAGAAGGACGTGAAGGTCTTCCCCTGGAAGATCCTCAGCCATGCCCTCAAGAAGATAATCGGTAAATACGTAAGTGAATCGTTCATTTCATAGCCATCCCGAACAAGGCTAACCGTTGGCGATCTAGTCTGCTAGTTACTCTTCGATTTCTGGAACCCTGGCCACCCCGATTGGATCGAACTACACCAGCAACGGCGCTGCCTCTGACTCTGGCACTGAGCCTCAGAATGCAGCGTCGCCTCAGTCCGTGTCAGATACTGCTGCCCCAGCCAACTACGGAGCCAGCCTAGCTGCTTCGACATATACACCCCCTTCTATGACGGGCGGCTCGGAACTGCGAGGCGGACTGGCTAGTGTCAATCAGCCCTATTCTTCCGCCTTGGCTACGCCCTACTCGTACCCTTCTGTCTGTCAGCAGCAGAGCCAACTTGGACTCACAGCCACTGTGAACAGCAGAACTTGGGAGCTGAATCCTCTTCTCAACTCTGCCGCAGCCACTGGAAACCCCAGCAGCAGCGCGTGCTACAACTACCTTGCTCCCATGCCGTATTCCGTGCATGGCCAGGCCCACGGGTCTTGAATCACCCGCGTTTCGGTTCCTCTTTGGTAATCTGCATCAACTGGCGTTTGGATTTTCCGCTTTATTGCGTTGTGTTTCTTGCATACCTCATTGATACCTCTTTGATTATCGTCACTCCTTTGCCATGAGACTTGGGCGCTGAGCCCTGTGGGATCTTGTCGCACAGGATAGTTCAGTCCCGGGGCACCTGGACTTTGCCACTTATTCTTTTTTTATGATCACTGTGAATGATCTTATGTCTCTCCTTATACTATTACCCTTCTTCATGCCTTGATGCCCGATATCCTTTTTTGCTTTGATGCATTATAGACGAACTGTTCCCGTTCTTCACCATTTAAACCATGTTTTCTTCTTCCTTTTTTTTTTTCTTGGGTTAATGTTGCATTTTCATGTGGGCATGAGGCTTTCACTCCTTTACGAAGCTGTACAACTATCTGGCATAGCATGGCGCTGCCGTCGTTCCTTCTAGGTTGCAGGTTTGGGATAACACTTGGGATTGATGTACCAGACATCTGGATTGGCGAAGGATCAAAAGTGTGAAATGGGATTTGGGATCAGATTTGTGCACCTTGTGTTATTGAGTTGTTGTTATCACTGTTGTCGTCCGCTGCTGGGTTTCTCTGCTCCTATCTCCGTCATTGTGCGTCTCTTGGAGGAGATGGTCCCTGGTATATTCACAGGACCCTGTTGCCACCAGTTTTTGGTGACCGGTCTTGTTGGGGCGGATCTATATATGCATAGCTTGCGGCGTCTGTGAATAATCCTGTTTATTTCTTACTTCTTCTGACTTGTTTTTCTTTCCCTTTGACATTTGGAGGAGGCAGAGTGCACAACTACATAAGTAATCTAATAATCGATCCCCAATCCAGAAATCAGACGCAATTCCGTAAATCCGACATTTTCATACCCAGCGGTACCTGTTCGTAATTTTTCATTTTTATCTTATCGCCACCATCACCTGACCGGGGCGGGGAAAATAACCAGCCAGCCGTCACTCACCGTAATTACTCAGTAATCGCGGTGACTCAAACCCACTTTCTTCCGCTTCTCCTCCTTCTCGACTCTCTCTTCCCTCCCCCAGCTTTTCCCTCCACGTCCTTATTCAATTGACCGTTTTTGGTCTCTTTTTCTTTCTTCTCGTCCCTTACCTTGCTTCGATCTCCCTTTTCCTCCGCTACTCCTTCCCCCGTTCCTTACTCTTTCACCACCACTCGCCGGGTGTCACCCCCACCTCCCGCCACCATGGACGGAATCAAGAATGCATTTGCCAGAGCCAAGCAGGAGAAGCGCGCCGCTCTGGTCGCCTACTTCACTGCAGGATATCCCACTGTTGAGGAGACCGTAGATGTTCTGATGGGCTTGGAAAATGGTGGTGCTGGTATGTTGTCGACCCCGCCTTTTGCAACATTTCAAATATGGAGGGGAACTAATCGATTTCGGTGATCTGCAACAGACATTATCGAAATGGGTGTCCCTTTCACCGACCCTATCGCAGATGGACCTACTATCCAGAAGGCCAACACCCAGGCTTTGGCCAATGGTGTGACAATCCCCCTTGTCCTGGACCAGGTCCGCACCGCCAGAAGCCGCGGTCTGAGAGCACCCGTTCTTCTGATGGGCTACTACAACCCTCTGATGCAGTATGGTGAGGAGCTCATGCTTCAACACTGCAAGGACGCCGGTGTCAATGGTTTCATCATGGTCGATCTGCCCCCGGAGGAGGCTGTTCGCTTCAGAGATCTTTGCGCCAGCGCCGGGTATGTTTCGACTGCATCGTGTGCGCAAATTTGGGTAGCTGGTCTAACATTTTCTGCAGTCTCTCTTACGTCCCCCTCATTGCCCCCGCCACCTCCGAGTCCCGTATGAAGCTTCTCTGCAAGATCGCCGATTCCTTTATCTACGTCGTTTCCAGAATGGGTGTCACCGGTGCTACCGGGAAGCTCAGCTCGAACTTGCCCGATCTCTTGTCTCGCGTTCACACCTGGTCCGGAAACGTGCCTACGGCGCTGGGATTCGGTGTTAGCACCCGCGAGCACTTCCTGTCCGTGCAGAACATCTCCGAGGGTGTTGTTATTGGTAGCCAGATCATCACCGTCTTGGGTGACGCCCCTGCCGGTCAGGCGGCTAAGCATGCCCAGGACTACCTCTCCAGCGTGACCGGTCGTCGCCTTGAGAGAGATGCTCAGGGCAAGGTGACTGGCTCCGTCAACGTGCTTGACCCCGTCCTGAAGGAGGCCCCCCCTGCCCTCTCTCAGCCCACCGATGTCATTACTAACGACGACACCCCGGCTGGTCCGGGCCTGGTCGACCAGATTGAAGCTCTGAACGGCTCTGGTGACCCTGCTCTCATTCCCTCCCGTTTCGGTGAGTTCGGTGGCCAGTACGTGCCCGAGTCCCTCATGGACTGCTTGGCCGAACTCGAGCGCGGTTTCGATCAGGCGCGCAACGACCCTAAGTTCTGGGAGGAATACCGCTCCTACTACCCCTACATGGGCCGCCCCAGCAGCCTCCATCTTGCTGACCGCTTGACGGAGCATGTCGGTGGTGCCAACATCTGGTTGAAGCGTGAGGATCTTAACCACACCGGAAGTCACAAGATCAACAATGCTCTCGGCCAGATCCTGCTTGCCCGCCGTCTGGGCAAGAAGAGAATTATTGCTGAGACTGGTGCTGGCCAGCACGGTGTCGCCACGGCCACCGTCTGTGCCAAGTTCGGCATGGAGTGTGTCGTGTACATGGGTGCCGAGGATGTCCGTCGTCAGGCCCTCAACGTCTTCCGTATGAGACTTTTGGGTGCTTCCGTCGTTGCCGTCGACGCCGGCAGCCGCACTCTTCGTGATGCTGTCAACGAGGCTCTCCGCGCCTGGGTTGTCCACCTCGACACCACCCACTACATCATCGGTTCCGCCATCGGCCCTCACCCCTTCCCGACCATCGTGCGTACCTTCCAGTCTGTCATCGGTGATGAAACCAAGGAACAGATGAAGGCACTCATCGGCAAGCTGCCCGATGCTGTCGTCGCCTGCGTTGGTGGTGGCAGTAACGCCGTGGGTATGTTCTACCCCTTCTCGAACGACCCCAGCGTCAAGCTCCTGGGTGTCGAAGCCGGTGGTGACGGTGTTGACACCGACCGCCACTCCGCCACCCTCTCCGGCGGCAGCAAGGGTGTCTTCCACGGTGTCCGCACCTACGTCCTCCAGGACAAGCACGGTCAGATCTCCGAAACCCACTCCATCTCCGCCGGTCTTGACTACCCCGGTGTCGGCCCCGAGCTCTCCAACTGGAAGGACAGCGACCGCGCCAAGTTCATTGCCGCCACCGACGCCGAAGCCCTCACTGGCTTCCGTGCCCTCGCTCAAACCGAGGGTATCATCCCCGCTCTGGAGTCCTCCCACGCCGTCTTCGGCGCCATGGAGCTCGCCAAGTCCATGAAGACGGGCGACATCGTCCTCAACCTCAGTGGAAGAGGTGACAAGGATGTCCAGAGCGTGGCTGATGAGCTGCCTCGTCTGGGTCCTAAGATCGGCTGGGACCTGCGCTTCTAAATCACCACCCTTCCTTCCTCCTCATCCTTCGTCCTCCATCATACCTCTTGACATCTACTACCACCTTCTACTTTCCTCCTTTTCACTTAATTTCCTGTAGATTTTTCCGTTTAGACTCTCTACAACTCCGTTGCATTCCCCCCCTAACGATATCAGAGCGATGAAGGAATCCTGCACCCCAAAAAGTGACAAGCCAAAATAAAAGGAAAAGAAGGAAAGAGGAAAAAGTCTTTTCGGTCTCAAGTTTGATCATTTTTCATCCTTATCTATGAACTACTACCCACTTCTACTCGTGACCCGAGTTGGGGTTTTTCGGTTTTGATCATTTTCGGTTTATCCTTTTTGGCTTGTTCTAGAGAGAGAGAGAGTTTTAGTACATATACCAGTATCGAATGCCATTGGGGTTCTTCTTCAATTCAAGTATGGTAATTTGGCTTTTAGGGTAGATTATTTGTTACGATGTATCAAGTTATTTACCAAGGCACCGTATTTGAAACCGAGTGTAAACAAGTCATAGATGGATAGATAGTATAGATGAGGTATAAATGCTCTCTCTGTGTGTGTGTGCATGCGTGTGTGAATAGCTATCTTCATCGTGTCGTGTCATGTCATGTCATGTCAATAAAAAGCAAGCAAACTCCGCGAAGTCAAGTCATTACTACATACACCTCATCAATCGTCAATCTCCCAAATGTAATTTGTATGCTGCGCTCCCATCTCGTCCATCAGCCACTCCCTCCGCCTAATCGACTGCGTACCCACCCCGTGAACCCTCCTGAACCCTCACCTCGACTACTCCGGCGTTGCTGTTGTTGTTCTGGGCCCTCTGAGCCCGACCATGGTGATGACCATGAGGAGAATGACTGCGAGCTCCAACCCGATGGTGATGCAGCGTCTCGCGCTGCTGATGGCTGGGTCCGTTCGCGCTCTGGACTGTCGGGGATAACTACTGGGTTGCCGCTTGTGCCCTCTGCTGCTGGTCTGTTTCTGGGAGGACTGTTGGCGCCTTCGGTTCTGCAAGCTGTTAGAGAGGGTTTGCGTGATGAAGCAACATAGGGTAGGGATCTTACTGGGGCGCATCGATGCTTCGTCGACAGTGCGGACACGTGTTGTGCTGGTTCAGCCACAGCTCGATGCAGCTGTAGTGGAACCAGTGGCTGCAAGGTAGCACCGTGACCTCAGTCCCTAGCTCCACCGTGTCCATGCAAATCGAGCATTCCGCTCGACCTTCGCTCCCCAGCATCTCCTCATCAACCTTCTTCTTCGGCAGCGATTGGATCGCACTGGGCGGGGCTGGTGGTGGCGCTCCGCGGTTGGCGTTCTGTTCCATCAGCTGAGAGATCACGCGGTCCAGCTCCTCCTGCGAGTATACTGCGTCCCCATGACGATCGAAGTTTAGCAACGTGGACAGCATGGCGAGGGGATTCGGCCCCGTCATCACCCGGACGCCGCCAGTGCCACCTGCCTGCGTGTTGGTGCCGAAATCCGAGCGGAACAGCTCCAAGATACTGATAATCATTAGCCCTGCAATATGAAGCAACGTCATCGGCAGCACCTACTCGCCCAGTGTCCGTAGAGGATTATTCACCGGTTGCGGACCATCCGCATCTCGCGGGTGCAGACCACCGTCCCGCGTGCCGGTCCGGCCCTCCGCCTCGATGTCAAAGGCAAAAGATCCCAGTGTCCTCCCGCGGTCGCGATCTGTGCCTGAAGCTTGAGCTTGGCCGCCTGGGCGATTTTGCTGTCGGTAGGTGCTTGCGAGACCATGGAAGATGCTATCTAGACCCTGCACCATCGGCATTAATGGGTCGGGGTTTGCCTGTCGCTGTTGGGTCGGAGGTGACCCCCCTCGGAGGCCATGGGTATAGGTCGTGGTGGAGAAGGTGAAACGGCCGTCCGGAGACCGATATGTGCGATGGGTGAATCCATTCCCATGTCCGGGACCCCAACCTTGATCGAGGTCATCATCTTCCTCCTGGTGTGCCCAGGGGTTGTGGTCTGCCCATGGATTCGGGGAGCGGGCGTTGGCCGCGGCGGGGGGCGAGGGGGGTCGGTGGAATGAGGGCGGGGGCTCGGCGTCGGGATCTGGCGGAATTTCGATCTGGGATGGTCAGGTAGGGTTGCATGGAAGTAATAGCGGAAGAGATCGTACAATTTCAGTAAAGTCTGACTCGCAGTGCGGACAGATCATGCCCTGAGCTTCGCGCAGCCAGACGCCGCCACAAGCATGGCAGAACATGCGGTCCCCCACGTCGGCCATGGCGATCCGGAATCCAACGGCGAAACGAGGCGTGGATGAGAGGGGGACAAGAGAAAGGTGGGGTGGAAGGTTGTCACCGTAGACACTAGTCAGATGGTGGTGCAGGAGACAAGATCTGACGAATCAATCAGGCAGAAGGGATGTTGCGGTGATGGTGGTTGATAGTTCGAGAGCAGCAGCAGCAGCAGCGCAATGCAGCGTCATTCATGGCTCGTTGGGCACGCATTCGTTCATCCACAAGGGCCACGGGCGTGACGGGGACAAAGATTTAGAGCATGGGAATCATCCGACAGGTAGATATGCTAGATATCAGAGAGATACCGACATCAGATGACAGCAAGAGAAAGAATGGAGAGAAGATGGAGGAAAGAAAGAGAAAAGCAGGAAAGAAGAAGCGACTCGGGATGACGTTAGCCACCTGTGGCGCAGCTGAAGATAAAGTAGTAGTAGTAGTAGTAGCAGTAGTAGTAGTGATAGCATCCATTAACATTAATCACGCATCCAATCTTGCTGTCAGAACGCCCCAATGCAAGAATAAAAACACCCGAACAACCTTATTTACACTCATGCACCCAGAACAATCAATTCACAGTCTCTGCCATCCCTCAGCGTCTCTTTGCCCCCCGCATCACCAATCCACCCACTACGCCGGCCGCCAGCGCCAGCCCTCCCACAATGGCAATACCCATCAGGCCCTCCTTGGACACTTTTTCATCGATGAGCTGGCCTAGACTAGCGGCCTGCAGGTTCCCGGGTTCCTTATCACGCAGTAGATCGTTGTACCGACGGGCTTCGCCGTAGTTACCGAGCTTGTAGTTACCCAGCGCGAGGTAGTACAGACATTCGCGACGTCGTTCAGGCGCAGCGCGGAAGATCTCCGACAGCAGACGGACACCCTCTTGTTGTTCGACCCGGGCGTTGGATTTGATCAGACCCTATACATGTCGTCAGCCGAATGGACTTGGCATCGGGATATCTGCCGGTCCCTACCCAGGCGTAGTTGAACTTGGTCTGAATTCCCACGTAGTCACCTTCCTTCTCATACTGGGCGCGGAGCACCTGAAGTTCCGCTGGCTTTAGCGGACTGTGCACCGGTTAGCTTCGCTGGTTCTGGGGTATTGATAGAGTATTCGATGGGGGGAAAGCGCTGACCTCTCAGCATCGGCGGCATCTGTAAGCAGGCAGTTAGCGGAGGGGGAGGGTCCAGCACCAACGGGGAGAGAAATACTCACAAGGAAGATTAGAGCCCATTCTGAAGAAATATCGATGTATCTGGTGGGAAGACGAAGACTTTTGGCCAGCAGCGACAAGAGAAGATTCGGAATCATGGCCGGGGCTGCCTGGCGTCACGCGCTGTGGCGGTGCGTGCGGCGGTGGCGGTTGCTCCAACAACAAACATCTCTCCACTTCCGGAGTGTATTTGCTGCCATTGCTATCAGAACTACAAGATTGATATCTAACAATACAACGTATATAGCCCTGATTCTACTGTCATCATGCTCCTCGACGAGAATCCCGCTGGTGTATGTCACTTTCATCCCTTAATTATGCTTATTGCTGACTCTCCAGCTCATCAACCACACCATCGGCAACTTCAACATCCACCCTGATAAACAGGCCGTCACCCGCATCAATGACTCGCTCGCCGCGCTACAGCAATCGCGTGAGTTGCGCACGCGCGAAGCCGAATCAGCTTTGCGCAAGCTCTCCCGGCACCTGTCCGCCCTGACGGCCCAACATGAGGAGGCCGTGACGGCGCATGACTCCGGCAAGCACGCCGCGGAGATGGTCGAGCTGGACACGAAGAAATTCCGAATCGCCAAGTCAGCTACCGAGCTGGAGATTGAGAGTGAGCGGCTAGAGGGCGAGCTGGAGATGTTGAAGGAGCGACTGGCCGATCTGGAGGCGCAGGGGTTGGAAGGCGATGAACCGACGCGCCGGGAGCGTGAGATGGATGATGCGACGCTGTGAGTACCTTCCCACCTGTTTAAACGGAGTATACGGCGACTGAATTTTTCCTAGGCTGCGTTTGAAAATCTACCGGTCCCTAGGAGTGGATATCGAGGCCGACGACGCGGGCAACTTCACCAAGGCGGTGATCCGCAATAGTCGCAAGGGCGATGTGCATGTGGTGAACATTGACCCGAAGTTCTCACGGTTCTTCTACTCGAACTACTTTTGGTCAACGATGCAGGGATAGATGCGTTGGGTGAGGATGGAAAGTTTGGACGGCGTTTACGGATATACCCTGGCTTGATATGACAATACTATGACTACTATTACATTCTATACATTAAACTATGCTCTATACTCATGCAGTAGACTGACACCTCCTCAACTCCCCTCTCACAACCTCCCTCTCCTCCTCACTCAACCCACTCACCCTCCCATCCCTAGCATACAACAACGGCTTCTCAAACGGAAACAACCGTTCCACAACCCCCAGCACCTCCTCCCACCTCTCCTCCCCAACACCCCACAACTCAAACCACCTCCTCTGCATGACCTCCATCCTCTCCACCACTTCATCCACCCCCGGAATATCCTCCCCGTCCCACGTCACCCTCGCCTCCGCATCCTGCTCACCAGCATCAGCACGATAAACAACCTCAACCCCCAACCCATCCCCAACCACCCCCTCAACCCTCTCATTCCAAAGTACCTGCCTAACCCTCCCCTCCAACCCAACAAGACACCAAACCAATGGAAAGCGACTCCTAGTCAGCGCCTCCCGCACGCCCCTCGTCGCCTCCCTCGGACTAACCAGCATCCCGATGACGCCTGTCCCGCGCCACCCCACCGGCGCCGATGCGAACGTGCCCTCGAGTTCGCGAACGATATTAGGTCCGAGCTTCGTCTTGAGCGCTTTGCATTGCACGAGCACGCGCGGCGGGTGTTCGTGTGCGGGGAGGTGCCAGGTTCCGACGAGGTCTGTGCCGGCGTCGGAGCGGCCGCCGGTGCGGTGGAGGAGGAGCGCGGAGGAGCGGAGGGTGGATTGGATGGTGTATTCGTAGTGGGTGCCGATGTAGGTTGTGCTTGTGGGAGGGAGGGAGGTGCGTGAGGCGTGGGCGAGGAAGGAGGGGAATGTGGTATGGGATGATGAGGATGGGGGGATTGGAGGGTGGGGGAGTTTGTAGAGACGGCGGGTTAGGGGGGATAGTGTTGTCATTATTCTTATTATTAAAGGCTGTAGATATGCATCGGATGTGTGTATATACTGTGGTTAATTGAGTGTTAGTATTTATCGAAATACATGGTGGAGTAGATTAAGATTAACATACCTGGAGAGGAGGAGAAGAGTAAGAAGTTGGAGAAATACTTTAAATTTTGGGGTTTATCGGGGCGGAATCCAAACTTATCGGGGAGCGGAGATTAGCTTAAGCTCTCTCTCTCTCTCATTTCACTTCTTCACTCTCCACTCCACCATTACCCATCGTCACTAGTTCTACAATTCTCACAACTACATTACACCACTCTACTCTCCACTACACTACACCCACAACAAACCAAAAAGAAAAAGACGAGAGAAACCACAATGGCAGACATCCTCACGCAACTTCAAACCTGCCTGGACCAGGTACAACAACCCCATTCCCATCCCCATCCCACTTTACCACCACCCACACCCAACTAATCCAACCCAACCTAACATAGCTCGCAACCCAATTCTACGCAACCCTCTGCTACCTCACAACCTACCACGACAACATCCCCGCGACGCCACCGCCCACATCCACAACGCCGAGCGCCGCACCCCTCCTCGCAAAAATCCCCAAGAATGCATCAACACCCCCGGTGCCCGCGTCCGCGCCCCAAGCAGCACAATCCCAATCGCAAGCGTCGCCGCCACCACCCGACAGCACCAATCCCCCGGGTCAGGGACAGAATGCAGACAACCAACAGCAACAGAACGCAGATGGGACAGCAGAAGGGTTACCTGCGCCGGACAGCCCCGCTACGTTTGCTGCGCGACAGAGGGAGTTGGCGCGGGATTTGGTGATTAAGGAGCAGCAGATTGAGTACTTGATTAGTGTGTTGCCCGGGATTGATAGTAGTGAGGCGGAGCAGGAGAGAAGGATTCGGGAGCTGGAGGGAGAGTTGAGGGTTGTGGAGGGGGTGAGGGAGGAGAGGAGGAGGGAGTTGGGGGCGTTGAGGAGGAGGTTGGAGGGGGTTTTGGGGGTGGTGGAGAGGGGGATTTATTCTAGGGGTTAGATTTATATACTATAGTATGTTTTATGTTGTTTTGTTGGGCTGGATATGATGGAGTATGGAGTTGACTTGCGTCTTCTAATTAGCTTAGCTTAGCTTAGCTTAGCTTTCTTTGTCTTTCTTTCTTCCTTTCCTTTCCTTTCCTCCGTTCTCCTCTATCGTGTATCACGGAATTAACCACATAGCAAAAGGAGATAAGACCAATCAGATCAAATGAATGGGTGGGAAACAAATCCAGATGCATGAAATGAGGGTGAAAAATCCAGGAATGCAATAAATCAACCAAACGCCTCTCGGGTATCAAACCAGTATTATCAGTATGAGCGCAGCATCTCCTTCTAGTGAATATGGTGCTTCACTAGGGAATAAAGGAATCATCGGTATGTCACCATCACTTGAATAAACTCCGGTATTCGCGCATGCGATGCTCTTGCACCTCCTTCTTGTCCAGCTTGCCCCTGTTCAAGCTCAGATCTGCCAGCTGCTGCTTCTTCTTCGCTAGCTCGAAGATCTTTTCCTCAATACTGCCCTTCATCAAGAACTGTACTGTCGTCACTTCGCGCGTCTGCCCGATGCGATGTACGCGGTCCACGGCCTGCGCCACTGCCGCTGGATTGTACTGCGGCTCCATTATATACACCTTGGACGCCGCTGTCAAGTTCAGACCCACGCCGCCGGCCCCGATCGTCGCCAGGAGCACCGTGATGTCCGGGTTACTGTGAAACTCCTCCAGCGCCTTGCTTCGCGCTGCCAGACTCATCGTCCCATCGAGCCGTGCGAACCCGTTGATGTCGTTGTCGCGCAGCGCAATCTCAATTAAGTCCAGGTGCGACGTCCACGCCGAGAACACCACGCTTTTGATCGGCCGCTCCCCGGGCCCTTGGCTCTTACTCTCCTCGGCTGTTTCCAGGAGCTGCGCCACCAGCGCCTTGGTCTTCGTGTGTGGTCCCTCGTACTCCCCTAACGTCTTTCCGTGTCGTCGGCTCTGTTTGGCTTGCGCCTGATCCACCAGGTATTCCTGCAGTCCACCTACCGTGATCGTGGAATACGAGGCTGGCATCCAGCCATCACACACCTGGCATTTGATATCGTGCGCCGAGCCCACCGGACGGTCGAAAGCGGGTTTCCACCCCGAAAAACAGTCTGGACACAGGACATCGAAGCACGGCAGCAGAATCGCCATGGCTGTTTGCCTGTCGGTCGTGCCATTATCGGAGCTTGGCTCCTCCAGGCGCTTCCCGCATACAGCGCATGTGTCTGCGGAAGTCTCCTGCATGAGTGTAAACATTTCGTAAGCCTTTTTGTCGGTGGCTCCGGCAGCGTCGCCTGCGCCTTCTTCGAGATCGATGGCATCGTGCACGCTCAAGCCCTTGATGCGCTTGCGGTCGTCTGGCTCGAGCAGTTCCTTGCCGTGCGCACTGATCTGTCGGAGGATCATCATCGCCTTGAGGATGTGGTGGTACATGCGACCTTTCATCTTGGACTGCTCTTCACCGGCAATCACCCGCATCATGACGTTGGACTCCTTCCGGAAGAACTCGTGCAGCTGTTGTTCCGTCTCCGTAAAGTTGAGCACGATGATCTTATCGTGCCGTGCCGGAAGATCAATCTTGTCCTTTACCCGGCGGAGCGTGAACGAATCTACCAGCACCCGCAAGCTGGCCAGCACTGATGCATCGCCCGTTTTGAACCGACTGAGGATGTGTATTCCGAACCGCCCTCTGTCGTCATAAGGAAAGAGCCCCAGGAACTTGGTGACGGAGAGGAGATCTTCGAGGCGATTCTGGATGGGCGTCCCGGTCACGGACCATCGCCGCTGGGAATTGAGCTTAAAGATGGCCTGAGTCTGCGCTGCACTCTGTTCGCGGATTGTGTGCGCTTCATCCAACACAATGCGGAACATGTTCATCTTGGTTAGAGGGCTGACGCCACGCTTTGCTCCTCGTCCAGACAGCTCGCTGAGGACGATGCTGTACGTGGTGATCACTAGGTCATATTTGGACAATTCTTCCACGTCATTGGTCCGGGTCGGTCCATGGAAAACATAGGACGAAAGCGCATTTTCCTTCAGATGCTCCTTGATCTGATTGGACCAGTTGTTCACAGCGCTGAGAGGTGCCACCAGCAGCGTCGTCTTGGTATTGCGGATGCCCGGCAAGCTGCGGACAAGCTCGGGATCTGGGATCAGATCCGCCCACTGGTTGGCCTCCTCTAGGGAAGACAGAACTAGGGAGAGAATGCTCAGGGTCTTACCCAGCCCCATCATGTCCGCCAGCAGTCCTCCCAGACTCTGTGGAGGCTCTTCATCTAGCACCATCCCGCTGATGATTTCACGGTACCGCCTCTTGCCATTCTGGCGATAAACCACCCGCCAGAGCGAGTTATTGTCCGCCTCCTTGGGCCCAAACCTGCGTGGCTTTTCCTTCTCTGTCATGAACCAAAGTGCCTGCTTCTGATGCCGAAGCAACGGCGTGTTCAAAGAAGACGGAGGGTCCATTTCGGGCAAATTATCGGCGCTCTGCAGCTGATCGAACATTTTCATCACGGCGTCGTTTACTTCTTCGGCTGTTCGCACTTCATAGTTGACTCCCACCCGGCCCCTCGCAGCTGCCGCAGGCAGCATCGCCGCTTGAGCCCGTCGCCTCTCTGCATGTGGATTGTGCACAGGAACGCCCTGTTCCACCGAAAATGGCGTCCCCAGCCAGACATTATGCTGACCCAGATGTTTCCCCACAAGCTCTGCATCCTTCCTCAGACCATACAGATTGACGGAGGCTCGGTATGCATATGAGCAAGGCGCCCAGGGCCACTCGTCGTCTTTTCTCCTCCGGACGTCCAAACGGGCGGTGATATTTACCTTCAGAGCCGGCGAATCGAGGAGCGGAACGACGACCGACGCTGTTTTCGCATCAACCGTCCCGAATATCTTTCCGTTGGGGTCTGACACTTCGATCCGGTTGTTCTGGCCCGGTTGGCGATGCACGCCTAGCTTCATGGAAGGCCAGTCATGCGTGGAGTCGCCAAAGATAGTCTGTGACGAAGGCTTAGGAACCAA